TAATAATCTCAATACAAACTAATTCAACCTTAATACGTATTAATAACTGTGTACTATATTAGAAATTCTGTAGTCTCTATAGGATAATACCAGAATAATTTATGGAAAAAAATTAAATACGTAGCGGAGCAATTGGAAATTAAAAAACATCAGAAAAAAAAAATTTTTGAAAAAATGGGATGGCAGGTATTGCAAAATGAAAATTTAACTTTGCGTGGCCTTAGTCAACTAAAGAATGTAAACTAATTCTGATTCTTACTAGTGATTTTTTCCGTAGGCTATATTTATTCCACGGGCTCCAATACTTCTTCACACTATCATTTGAATAAAGAGTGGTTTCGTCTTGGGCAACAAGAACTATTTCAGGATAAAGTTCTAGCGGGATACGGTTTAATCCTACACCTTCGTATAAGGCTATTTGTTTTCGTAATTCAGCCATCTTTTGGAGAAAATGATTTCTGGATTTCACCACATCTTCACGTTCGTGACCATCAAAATAGATTTTTTTGAATGGGTTTGGTATTTTCATCCAAGTAATTTTAGCCATCTGCACGCAGTTAATCTACTAATGGTTGTTTTATATATAATTCCAAAAGTAGGCATAATACTACTGACGTGGCTTATAAATTCTGGAATAGCCAATTTAAATTTATTTTCCTCCAAATACTGATTTATTTGAAGCCGAAAACTTTTATTATGTAGTTTTCATTTTTATATGTCGGCCATGTTTTGACTTTACTAATTCTTTGCTATTCTTCCATTGATTTGCCCAGACATGAATACACCGCGCATGCCATGGGCCTTTACCTAAACTCTTAGCCAGAAGGCTACTCACCCCCATCTTTGTGTGCCCTTTCTGAACCAGATTAAGATATTGTCTTGTTGTATTAAGGCATAGATCAACGGATCTCATTCTCAATTGTGCGTTTAGTGATAATAATATAGAATTATCATTACTAGCACTACTATCAAGGCCAATTTTTGTTGATAGGATCAAGTATTATAGATTCGTTATTTTTGTAGGAAGAAGCATTGGCCGATTCAATGCGTTGCAAGGAAGATTTATTTTTCCAATATTCGGTGATAGCTTTTTGGGACTGTGTTTTGCGTTTACTTTGTTTTGGCATTTTCAGAGGTATGTATTGAAAAAGTTAAATAAAAAATATAATCCGATCAAGTCTTCTTATATATGTATTTATAACTAATACGTATATTAATATTGTTTAGAGAATCAATCAATCTTGATTGATGTTGAATATACTTACATATGTCAGTTATGTATTTGAACGAAACCCACCCAAAGCCAGTTTCAGGTGCATACCGTATTTTTGTATAATAACGCCTACCTGCGCATCATTTCGAAGCTATACATGTTATTTCGAATTATATGTACGATTTTCGAAATAATGCTCATTGACATTATTATGCGAAAATACAGTATACATACTACGTATTGAGGCAGGATAAGGTCTTGAAGAAAATATAAATGGACATTGTCCATTATGCCAGTGGATTGGCTATCTCTGTACGCCAACTATAACAAGGGTCATAGTCCAGCACTGGCTTCAATAGAGTCCGCAAATGGGGCCAATAGAGCTCTAAATGGAACCAATGGATGCCATTCATTAGCTCTATTTGCGGGCTCCATTGAAGCAATGAAAAATTTAATTATGCTGAAAGTTTTATATACGAGACCCAGGTCTGTTCATTTCACCAATTTTTAAACCCTTCAGTGGACCAGGTCTACGTAGTACTCACTCAGAGGTTATATATAGAGATGGGTTTCATGCGCATTTTACCCCATCTAAATTTTATACATATACGTAGAATAATTAAATTATATATAATTTAGGCCAGGGAGCGTATTTTCGGGCGGAATTAAGGAATATGGATACAAAATTCTCAAAAAATTCTGAAAAAAAAATGAATAAGCATAAAAAAAGAGCAAGATTTGGGTAAAAATTTGAGCACATATCCGATATTCTCCAAAAGAAAAATATAAATTCCAAAAATTATATGTATTATGTGTATTTTACATATAATTTTTGAATTATGACCTCTAACACGGTTGGCTAATGGCTTTCAGAAACTTAAATTGTTAATAACTCTTGGTTTTTTCTTTTTTAATATAATAGGAATGTTATTGAAGCACTAGTCAAAA